CTTATGAGAAGTTCCCTTGGCACTCACTAAACACCCAGCCTATTTCATTTTTTTTCTTAGATTACTCTGACTTGAATAAAGTGTCATATGCTAGAACAATCTGTATCTCCAGGAATCTCCTTCCAGTTTAATATAGGCCTCATAGGAATGTTTAGGACAGGGGTAGGGAACTATATGAACTGTGGATTTCAACTCCCAGAATTCCTGAGCCAGTATGGATTCCTCACCCCTGGTTTTTCAAATAATGAAAATGCCCCTGTGGTTTGATCAAAAATGTGCTCTCCTGGCTAGAAAAAATGCAGAGACGACGTACAATTGGATTATAATCTCCTTGAGCTTAAAAACAAACAAACAAACAAAAAAAAACCTAGGCAGAATGAATTTTTTTCAGTTTAACCACCATGCAGCAGTCATTTTCTTGGAGAACTCAAGACATGCTCCCAATAGGTCAAATATGCCCCCAGGCTCCAAATGTATAAGGTAAAGGTAAAGGTTCCCCTCACACATATGTGCTAGTCATTCCTGACCCTAGGGGGCGGTGCTCATATCCATTTCAAAGCCAAAGAATCAGCACTGTTCGAAGACATCTCCTTGGTCATGTAGCCAGCATGACTAAATGCTGAAGGCACACGAAACACTATTACCTTTCCACCAAAGGTGGTCCCTATTTTTCTACTTGCATTTTTTAATGTGCTTTCGGACTGCTAGGTTGGCAGAAGCTGGGACAAGTAATGGGAGCTCACTGCGTTATGCGGCGTTAGGGATTCAAACCGCCGAACTGCTGACCTTTCTGATCGACAAGTTCAGCATCTTAGCCACTGAGCTAAATGTATCCCAATGTATCCAAATGGATACTGATGCAGAAAAACATTTCTCCTAATAGTTTATAATTGCCATCTTTCTTTCCTACCAAAATTCCAGAAGTTAAGTCAGCTTGGACACTGAGAAAAACATTAATGTACATTCCAATGCAACTTGTGTTATTTCACCCACAATACAATAAAAGGACCAAGTGCACTGTGGATACATAAAAATGATAGCTGGAAGCTATGGTACCTGGTAGAAGAAAACCAAAAATGTTTTGACAACCTATTATTTTGTTTGTTTCTTTTAAGTGTGTGTGTGTGTGTGTGTGTGTGTGTGTGTGTCCTGGGTACTCTGAGCTTGGTTGTTTTCTTGTACACATTTCATAACCAAACCAAGTAACATCATCACTTTGTTTTAATTAGAGAGTGTTTAAAGGAAGCTTCTGCACTAATCCTTGAAATTTTGGTCTATGGCTTTTGCCTAGAATGCCAGATACCAATGTTGGTATTGACCCCTATTTTTATTTTTTATGACTAATTTTATTTTTTTAAAATTACAATAGTACCAATAAAAAAACTAATACAAACTTTAAAAAAGAATAAAAAGAAACATGGAGGGTACAGAAAAGAAAAGGAGGAAAAATAAAAAGTAAAGGAAAAGAAAATATAAAAAGAAATGACTTTCCCCTTCATCACAACATATAAATAATTTTAGTAATGTCTCCTAAAATACAGCAAATGATCTCTTCTTGCCATATCCCATCTCTTAATGTATAAACAAATCCTTAAAGCCTCGTCATTTCAGTCCCGGTGTCAGCAGAAGTCCTTTAAAGGTACCAGAGGCAACAACAGCTTTTTGTGGAACTGTCTTCAATCTGCCATTTTTGCTCTGCAAGAGCAGCATTTTTATTGCTACTGTTAGTGCATCGTGGACATCTTAAGGCCCCTAACCCATCTCCCACTTCTGGGACTTCCTTCTAATCTCATGGCTGAAATCAGCACCACTGTTGTCTATAATTCTGAACAGAAAAAAAAACAAACACCCTACAGTCTGGAACCTGCAGCTAGATTAATATTGTTAAAGGAAACGCACTATGAAATGTTACTAAAAATATAAGGGAATAAAAACAATTCAATTCTTCAGTTTAAAAAAGGTGGCTGGTCTCCTTAGCATTATTAGCCTGAGACCTTCTAAACCAACTCTACCCCTGGTTTTTATTGTGTATTATAATAGTTAGGACTGTGATTTGGAACGCTTCCAATTCAAACCGGACCACCAATCATTCTTTTACTAGACAATCAAACCAGAGGTGGCATTCAGCAGGTTCTGACCTGTTCTGGAAAACCGGTAGCGGATATTTTGTGTAGTTCAGAGAACCGGTAAATACCACCTCTGACTGGCCCCACCTCCATCTTTTCTCTGCCTCCCAAATTCCAGCTGATCCGGAAGAAATGGGGATTTTGCATTAACTTTCCCCTGGAGTGGGGTGGAAATGGAGATTTTACAGTATCCTTCCCCTGCCCTGCCCATCAAGCTACGCCCATCAAGCTATGCCACGCCCACCAAGCCATGGCCACAGAACCAGTAGTAAAAAATTTTGAATCCCACCACTGAACCAAACCACAATATTCCAAAACTGTAGATATTGTAGAATATTGATCTGCCTTACAAGACTGTAGTTCATATATGTGAAGTATTAGAAAGACTCATGCAGTTACATAAACTACTAAGTATTATACTTTTCTGAGGAATATTATTGCACCTACTACAAATGAGATATGCAGATTTCAAAATCTGAAAGGCAGATTTCGAACATTCTGATTAAGGAATTCTTTCCACAATAAAGAAACTTCACTATGCTTGGCACAGCGCTCAATTCCATACATGTTCCTGTGACATTCTTTTGCCTGCAGTTAAAAAAAAAAAGCATTTCACACCAAAAATTTAGAAGGAAATCTAAAATGAAGGACATAACAGAAATCCAGAAATTGCAGCTATTTTCCAGGCATTGACACTTGGGAATTAGATAAAAATCAATTTAACTGTTTATATTACTAATATTATTTTAATCTGGAAACTTTTAAAACCTATTCTAATGAATCTTTATAGAAATAAAATGTGTAAATTCACATTTGTATTCCCACATCTTTATCAAACCTCTTAATACTCTTTTTCCAAATTTGCCCAGCCCTAAAATGATAGCGGACTATTCATGGCCTCCCGCTAATCTGCCCAAGCACATCCAAAATATAGCAAAATGTTATGGCAACAAGTTTGATTTTTTTTAAAAAGCCATTTTATCAAACACATAACCAGTCATAAAAACCTACAACACATTGTAAAATTAGAAGGGGGGGGGAGAACTAAATAATTTCAATCCCACCCACTTGGTGGACACAATCCTGTTGTGGCCCTCTGTGTCAAAATGTTATTTTTTAAAGGCAGGACTTCAGCCAGGTTTAAAAGTATCACATTTTTTTCAAATACAAGAGTTTTCAGATCCTTAATATTAGACCCATGTCACCTGAAATTTCCTAGAAGCAGAACTCTCAAATTTACACTCAAGATAAAGCAGGTTGGAATGCTTGCATTTCGATTGCACCAGGGCTTTAAACTGACAGTTTGCCTGCCCATATCATAAAAATCGCAAACTTTGTTTATTCTGAGAATTTAGAAGTTTAATTTGCTTACAATGCCATACTTATCAATATTTCTATGAAGTTATATAACAATTTAAAAAGGAGAAACAGAATAGAACTGTCAAAAAATTCTCGTTTTTACATCTTTAGTGCCACCTTCTGGCATTTCAGATGCAATACAATATATTTATTTTGATATTAAAATCTGTTAGAAGTAAGTTCATTTTTAAAGGAGTTTACAGTACAGAATTAGGTGGTAGATTGTGGAATCACTGAAATGGTTTTATAAATATGGTTTAGAAAATGAGTTTTTAATATCTATGTGGAGGAAAACCCAACAAAGAAAATAAGTTGTACTTAAATTTCAAAAAACAGACAAATGAAAGCAACTTTAGCAAAAAAAAAAAAAACAATTTTGGAGAACCTTAGGCATCAACCCCACCCTGGGAACAGATGAATTGGTCCTCCACCAGTCCATATTGCCATCAAATGTGAGACAGACACTCAAGATTCAGGCAAGATACACGAAACCTACCATTCGGTTCCATTGCAATTCTCCGTTTAAAATGAGAATGCAACTTTGCGTTTAATTATGTATTTCAAAGATATCATTTAAAATATTTTCATTTCATAACTTATCTTTCCAGACATCTAACCCAGCTCTTCCTAACATATTTTGACAACTGCAAATGTTAAGGCATAATTAAATTATTAATATAATACAATACAATACAATACAATAATCATCTTTGTTGCTCTTCTCTGCACTCTTTCTAGAGTCTCCACATCTTTTCTACATTGTGGCGACCAAAACTGAATGTAGTATTCCATGTGTGGCCTTACCAAGGCATTATAAAGTGGCATTAACATTTCATGTGATCTTGATTCTATTCTTCTGTTTATGTAGCCTAGAACTGTGTTGGCTTTTTTGGCAGCTGCTGCACACTGCTAGCTCATATTTAAATGGTTGCCCACTAGGACTCCAAGATCCTTCTCACAGTTACTACTATTGAGCAAGATAGCACCTATATTATACCTGTGCATTTTGTTTTTCTTGCCTAAATGTAGAACCTTACTCTTTTCACCCTTGAATTTCATTCTATTAGATAGTGCCCAGTGTTTAAGTTTGTCAAGATCCTTCTGTATCTTAAGTCTACCTTCTGGAGTGTTGGCTATTCCTGCCAGCTTGGTGTCATCTGCAAATTTGATGAGTTCCCCATTTATTCCCTCATCCAAATCATTGATGAAGATGTTGACGAGTATTGGGCCTAAAACAGAGCCTTGGGATACTCCACTGCATATTTCCCTCCATGTAGGTGCAGTTCCATTGAGGAATACATGTTGAGTGCAGTTGGTCAGCCAGTTATGAATCCATCTGGTGGTGATGCTGTCCAACCCACATTCTTCTACTTTATCTAGTAGTAGGTTATGGTCTACCTTATCAAATACCTTACTGTGTGACCATCCAGGCGGCAAGTATCATCCAGTTCACAGGAGACTTTAAATCCCTTGACAGATCAGTAGTTAGGTATGGGATAGATTGAGACAGCTTACCTTGGTCTGGAAGCAGCAGTAGAGCTGTGTTAAATACGGATGCTTTCGTGCTAATGCCAGAATCCGTTTTTCTGTCATTGTACAGTCCACATCATCATCTTGAAGAATGACATCTTTCTTTAAGACTTTCACAGCATATACTTCATCTTTGCCTTTGAGTTCCGCTAGCATGACCTAGGATCAAGGACAACATCTCATTTATAAAATACACTGCATACTTGTTACACTAATAACAACTGGGGCAAAATGAACCATCACAAGCACCTTGAAGCAAAATATTTTGAAAAGGCCCTATGTACAGTACAACATCTCTCTGCTTGTCCAACTACAGACACAACTGTACATATCCCTTAACAGTTCAAGATATAGTTTGAACTCAGTATAAAAAGGTAAGCAGTGTCATCTCCAATGGAAAAATCAGCTTTTCATGAAAGATAGAGCCAAATTCAGTACTCATCATAAAGTTTAGTATCTGTGTGAACAAGTAGATCCATTTATTCTCAGGATAACTTTATAATTGAAGATATGCAGAAATTCTTGTGTTTGATGAACTATGAAGAAAGTTTTGCACATGTTCCAACAACTTATGTACAGCTTCTATAGATGAGAGTATATTTGTAATCAACTGCAATATGCCCATTCATACACTTAGAGTAGATTTCTATTGCTATTAATGCATAATTATTGAATAACTAAATAGAGTACTCCACAAGCCTAATTTTGAGCAACTGTAAGGGGAAATGACATCTGTCTACTACCTACCTACCTGTCTGTCTCTATCTGTCTATCTCTTTAGTGGCTACTTCTTATAAGCCAGAAGGGAAAGGATATAGAGGTACACGTATAAATATTTGTAATTCAGGATCTCTGGCACTAATTAAAAAGCCAAGGATAGACACAATGATTCTACTTTGAACCTGACTGATAAATTTCTGGTTTCAGTTCCATTAGACGTCCCTAACCAAGTCAAGGCTTATAAGATTTTTCAAGTAAACCAGATAGCAACCCCGCTCTACCAAGTCTTACAAATTGTAGCCACAGCTTTGGGCCCTTTGTCAACATGGTTCAACATTCACTTTCCCTCTACTATAACAAGTCTTTCTGCTTCTGGCTACATGGCCCTTATCCACTTGTTCATGAACTAATGCTAGAATGAATAGAGCATGATGTGAATTTCCTCCTCAGTAAATTTCAGTCAAATAGTTTGCATATTTTTTTGCACCACAAAACTCAGTCTCTGAATGCAATTTTAACTGGAATAATCAAACTAGGTATTAGCTAGATAAACTGAATAGACCACTGTAGAGTTTTGCAAAGTCATTGTGTGATGATTTCACAAATAGTCCAGTAGTTGATCTAAGTCCCACAGCTCACATCAACACAAAGCAATTGCAAATAAATGTATTGAACATGCATAAATAGTGTTCTTTAATTAAGTATTTAAAATATATCACAATTTAGTAACAAATGAGATCACAAAAGACATTGAAAGGCATATAAATTAGCCTTTACATTTATACTTCACAATACAGATGATGATGTCATCAGAACCAATGTACATTCAATATGGACATAGTTTTTGCTGCAGATGAGAGCCAGGTTCAAGATTTAGCAAAATTATACACCTACCAAGAGCCTACGGATTAGAACAGTCTATAATCAAGTGATTCCTCTTTACCATAGCAACTTGCTTATTCACTCAGGCATGATAGCTAGTGGCATGAAGGGACATTGTAGTGAGAGGGGGTGGGCGAGGGGGGAGGGAGAGGGAGGGAAAGAGAGACAGAAAACAGTGGATTGGAAAAAGCTGCTTGGTCTAGTACTGCAACCGTAGCTTTATATCTGGACAATGCTGCATCCATGTTTTTTACATATATACATTATATATACATCCATATATAATTTTACCCTACAGAACATTGCAGCATTGTCCAGGTATACCAATGATTGCAGTACAGTACTAGAACAAGCCGCTTTCTCCAATCCACTGTTTTCTGTTTGACTAGAAATACCATACTTCCTAATCAGCAGTTGCAGGGAAGCCTCCAAGTTGCAGATAGAAACATATAAAGGAAGTGAACCTGGGGAATGTTCAAAGAATGTACCCTCACACAAGAGAGGGAATCATGGCAAAGTTGGATCTCTTTATTTTTAATAACACAGGTCTTCTTGAATAAATATATTGGCCCCAATGATGATATTTGGCATATGTCTATGACCTTTAGAATTGTAGATATCTCTGATTACCTTGCAAAGAGCTGAAGAAGCCAACAATGGCTCTATAATTATAGAAAGTGAGATTTGTCATTATTTTTTTCACTATTTTGTAACCGCTTTATTGGGTTTAGTGATTGGAGCCAGAACAAATGCAGTCTAATATCTACATGCCATGTTAAGTGTGCATAGCTGGCAAACAGAAAATATAAGCACAAAATTATTTGATTTGCAGGATCAGAAAAAGCAAAACAGGAAACATCTACACAGTGAAGAAATGTCAATCACCTGACAGAACACTTTTTACAGTCAGGCTCCTTGACAAACATAATTTAGCACTTCAATAAGTAGATATGTATTCAACTCACAGTATAATATTGACATTAAAAAAATCAGACTTTGAAATGAGAAATATTTCTGCCACAGGACTTGTAGAAATTCACAGTTATACACTCTTGCTATAGTTCTTTTCTGTACATATATTGCAACATATTCTTTTATAAGAACAATAAAGCACCAGATTGGCATGTGTAAAAGACATGTGAACAGAATGTAGAGCCTGGTCTTCTGCAACTACAACTCCAACATCAACTTTTTGTCAAATTACTCTCCTGAAGATATATTGGCTTATGATTTTATGTAAGGTCAGAAATTCTGGAATGTCTTCATGCCTAGAAGGCATCCGTTGAAAAAGAGTTGCCAATATTATCCATTGATTCAAACTAGCTCACAAGGCAGCAGCATCTGAAGGAGACTGAAGTCAAGATGATCTCACAAGAATCCATTGTACCTACCAGCTTAGATCTGACACCACTTAATGGGTCAGCAAGTTTATCTGTGCCCAAAGTATATTTGCACTGTGTAGGTGGGATTTAACAAGCAGTGTCATAAAGGACTAGAGAAACCAAAGTCAAATTGCAATTTATTTGTAAGATTCATACAATGGCAGAGATAATTCTCCTGGTGAGGAAGACTACATGACTTTACAAATGACTCCTGAAGGTACTTCCCGATCCCAAAATCATGGAAACAAATATCACCAGTTGCAGGCTGAGATACAGAATGCTATGAATTTCCTACAATCTTTCAGGCATGCATTTAGCATTTCTTGCCATCCTATTGGATTGTTCCTTCCTTCCATTCATTTTTTTCTTTTCTATTTTTAAAAGTATTTATATTGAAATCTCTAGATTAATGGGCAATATACTTTAAGGGCAAAAAGCAAAAATAAGGAAAAAAATAATGCAGGAATAAAAAACCAAAACATAATTTAAGGCTAATGAAGTATAGCAATGAATGAGCTGCCAAAGACTTGTGGAATAAAATGGATTTAACTGATTTTAGAATGTCAGCAAAGTTGAGGCCACGTGTACCTCTGGGAGGAGAAGGTTCTGAAGGATGAGGACCACCACAAAGTTTGTCTTATCCTCATTTAATGTATTTCACTGGAGAATTTGGGAGGGGGGGTTAACAGCCTTTCTCTAAATGAACAAACTGGACAAGCCAATCCAATAATGATAACGTGATGCAGTATATATTTTGACAGAATTGGGGGCGGGGGGTGTTCTGTTAAGATACAGCCTGTTGTGCCTTAAAATGACTTCTACTGTACTGCCTTAGAATGGATTCTACTGTACAGAGCTGTGTTGTTGCAATGGTAACATCTTCACAGTACTCCACAAGGGGGCTCCCTCTGGTAAGGGGGAAAATCCAACATTAGAAATTGCGGTGACGTTCATAGGAGAGTTGGGATAAATAAATACCTGTGCAGCGCAGGGCTATCAGCTAGTAATTTATCTAATTTAGTTTGGTCTCCTGCTCACTGCTTTTTATAAAGTCTTTTTATGTGGCTCTTTCTTAATATGCTATTCTAATACTGCTTTTGGCAAAACAAAAGTTGTATACCTTGGCCATAATTTCATGTGACAAAGAATGTATTTCTATAGGCACCATAAATTACCTTTACATTTATGAGGCAGGATGAAGAGATGCTGCCTCAAAAACAAAGACCCCATAGCCTACAACAAGATGATAGATGAAGAAAGAGGCTCAGAAGGGATCCTTCCAATCTTCTCAAGCTGTAAAGGAGATGGTAGGATATCTCTAGCTTGAGACTTGCAATATTCTGTTAATGTACTCTTACAGTTAAGTAACATTAGATCATCTGCTCATGTTTCCTGTTTAGTCTACCTGAGAAGCCTGTAATATTTTCAGCTTACGAATTATGATAAGGCAAGTGACCAAAAAAGAATCAAGTAGCATTTGGAGGCTGCTCACCTTTCCAAAGCTGCCTTTTCCTAATACTTTGATGAAGTTGAATTCCTCCAGGCCCATTCGCTTTGTCTGAGCTTTGACGTCACCATTTTCCCCATTCTCCCCTGGTGTATTAAGTTGGCTATCAGTTGAGCTTGTTGCTGCTCCCCTATGTTCTTCTCCCCGATTGTCAAATGATAACGCTTTCCTGATGTTATTTTCAAGCTCTTTGATTTCTGTGTGAAGACAAAAAAAAAAAAAACAGTATTGACCGGCAAAATATTTTGCAAAAACCTCTGCAGGATTTAATATTAATTTTGGAGACAGATGAATTATATCAGGTGCTTTTGGAGTCATAAAGAATGAGAGGTTATGGTTCCCAATTTTACTTTCCTGACTGAATTTAAACTGGTCTAGGGGCAGAAAACAAAGGAATCTTGTGGGAAAATGTATGCCTTAAACAGAGAGCAGCCTATCAGATTTTGGCTCTGCTCCAGAATTCCTTTGGGAGGTTCAGAGCCTTTAAAGCAGTGGTTCCCAAACTTGGCAACTTTAAGACTTGTGGACTTCAACTCCCAGAATTCTCCAGCTAGCAGAGCAGAGCTGGCTGGAGAATTCTGGG